CATTAGCATTTAAAGGAACATGCAACAAAACGGCTTGCTGTAAAAAGAGCTGTTTTTGACAAGGTAAAAAGGATGTTGCTTTACACTACCATTGAGAAATTTTAACCAAAGTATATTATAGACTTTTCATTAAGACCCTAAAGAATCATATCAACTTGTGGAAAATGGGCATCCGATGACCCCTTTAAAGTTCACTGGAATTTCATAAACATAGCATTGTAATTAGAACTTTATAGAATGTGAAATCTATAGTAAATTCTGTCTGTTTTCCTTCTCTGTGTTTCAGCGCGCTGTTATGAAAGCACATCACGGTGGGAGCTCTCTCTCACTCTCGTGCTATAGCACGTAACTTAAAGTTCACTGGCATTTGCATCCTTTTGTGCAGATACAAGTTGTAATGTTAAGCCTATGTTATGTATCTAAGATATCTGATTAATATCATAGGATGTGTCATAGAACGGGCTTCAGTTTATTGGCATAAAGTCACTCTTCAGCTTCACCCCAGGCAGCTATTCCTTTTTAGATGCTTCTTTTTTAATAACATTGCTGCATCATAATCATAATCTAACAGTGTTCTAATCATGTGTTCATGTTTTCATAGACAGGTTTTCATGTCATATTTTTATTTTTAACATTAATTTTTATAACAGTCTTCAGATATTTTCTTTATCTCCATTACGGCAATGCCCGCCTCCCGAGTACTCGTTTTTGAAACCTATCGATGATCGAAATGAGAAATTGCCAAAAATGCCCATCCCTAATATATACACACACACACACATTATAATAATGAACATGTTCAACTCATAAGGGCCTATTTGCATGTGTCATAATAGATTGATTTAATTGATGCATCTCAACAAAACAGATAATACAATCTATTTTTCCAGCATTATAAGCAATGAATACAATCTTAGGCAAGCAGTAAAAAAAATCCTGTTCAGAAATTTGGAATCAGCCAGATTAAATAAATAAATAAATAATATTTGTATTCAGCAAAGATACATTAAAATGATCAAAAGTGACAGTAAAAATGTGTGAAATATTTATATTTCAAATAAATGCTGTTTTAAACTTCCTATTCATCAAAGAATGTTTTCAGCATTGATAATAATAAGAAATGTTAATTGAGCATAAATTCAGCATAGTAGTGATTTCTGAAGGATCATGTGACACTGATGACTGCAGTATTGACTGCTAAAAATTCACAGGAATAAATTATATTTTAAAATATAATTAGAAAATGTATTTCAAATTGTAATAATATTTCACAATATAAGACTATCTATTGTATTTTTGATCAAATAAATGCAGCCTTGATGAACAAAAGAACATTAAACGTTTTTACTTATCAACATAAAATTTTATATAACTTGTATGTACAGTATATACAACTTTAATAAAAACCACTGCCCTAAGCAAATTTTGTAAAATATAAAATCACAAAGGCATTTCAGTGTACTGTAATGCTGATGGGAAATTACTTCACTACTTAGATAATCTATATAAAGCTCTGCACATTTACCCCTCATTCCTGAAAACACCGGAGCCCAACCCGGAACAATGCTCTAATCCTATTTGAGTGTGCATCTTATCTCGTGGTGAAAGTGTGGTAATGTCAGCATTTACAGGGGTCACAGGCTACTGCATCTTGGCAGGCAGTGGCACCAGAGAGGAATGGACACATGAGCCATGGAGGCTAGATAAACCATTCACCGTATACAGTTCAGCACAGTTACAGAAGGCCATGGTTCAAAGCCACTGCTGTCAGATGTATCAAAAAGTAATCAGTGGCCAACAGATAAGCAGTGAACAGGAAAGAGCACACAGTGACCGAGTGTGCCACTAGAGACAGACTGGTCAAATTAAATGGACACTTCATCCAAAAAACAAAAATAGCTTTGTGGAAGGGGAAAAATCATAGACAGGTTTTCATGTCATATTTTTATTTTTAACATTAATTTTTATAACAGTCTTCAGATATTTTCTTTATCTCCATTACGGCAATGCCCGCCTCCCGAGTACTCGTTTTTGAAACCTATCGATGATCGAAATGAGAAATTGCCAAAAATGCCCATCCCTAATATATACACACACACACACATTATAATAATGAACATGTTCAACTCATAAGGGCCTATTTGCATGTGTCATAATAGATTGATTTAATTGATGCATCTCAACAAAACAGATAATACAATCTATTTTTCCAGCATTATAAGCAATGAATACAATCTTAGGCAAGCAGTAAAAAAAATCCTGTTCAGAAATTTGGAATCAGCCAGATTAAATAAATAAATAAATAATATTTTTATTCAGCAAAGATACATTAAAATGATCAAAAGTGACAGTAAAAATGTGTGAAATATTTATATTTCAAATAAATGCTGTTTTAAACTTCCTATTCATCAAAGAATGTTTTCAGCATTGATAATAATAAGAAATGTTAATTGAGCATAAATTCAGCATAGTAGTGATTTCTGAAGGATCATGTGACACTGATGACTGCAGTATTGACTGCTAAAAATTCACAGGAATAAATTATATTTTAAAATATAATTAGAAAATGTATTTCAAATTGTAATAATATTTCACAATATAAGACTATCTATTGTATTTTTGATCAAATAAATGCAGCCTTGATGAACAAAAGAACATTAAACGTTTTTACTTATCAACATAAAATTTTATATAACTTGTATGTACAGTATATACAACTTTAATAAAAACCACTGCCCTAAGCAAATTTTGTAAAATATAAAATCACAAAGGCATTTCAGTGTACTGTAATGCTGATGGGAAATTACTTCACTACTTAGATAATCTATATAAAGCTCTGCACATTTACCCCTCATTCCTGAAAACACCGGAGCCCAACCCGGAACAATGCTCTAATCCTATTTGAGTGTGCATCTTATCTCGTGGTGAAAGTGTGGTAATGTCAGCATTTACAGGGGTCACAGGCTACTGCATCTTGGCAGGCAGTGGCACCAGAGAGGAATGGACACATGAGCCATGGAGGCTAGATAAACCATTCACCGTATACAGTTCAGCACAGTTACAGAAGGCCATGGTTCAAAGCCACTGCTGTCAGATGTATCAAAAAGTAATCAGTGGCCAACAGATAAGCAGTGAACAGGAAAGAGCACACAGTGACCGAGTGTGCCACTAGAGACAGACTGGTCAAATTAAATGGACACTTCATCCAAAAAACAAAAATAGCTTTGTGGAAGGGGAAAAAAACTAATTTGAATTGTTGAAAAAAAAATATTATTGTCTTTTCTTCAAACAAAGCTATCACATAGCTTCAGAAGACTTGGAAATGCATATTGTAATTCATATAATATTTTGGATTATTGATATTGATTTTTACCTGTTTCAATGTTATGTTATTTGCTTGCTTTTAGGTTAATGCCATATATGTTTGAGTATAAAAATGCTTGAATGCTATGGAAAGTACTTGCAATAACACAGTCACAGACATTGATATGGAACTGGAAAAGAAGTATAATAAGTATAAAAATAAATATAAAAAGAATGAGGAGTAAATCTCTCTTCAGATGCGGCCTGCATTAAGCATGAAGGACACCTGATACCCTATCTCCACTATTGCTGATTAAAGTTTGATAATAGAGTTTTTAGCTTAGCTGATTTTAAGTTTTATTTTTGCATTAACTGATTTGTATTGTAACCAATAAAATGAGTGTTTTATTGTTATAATTGCCTCCCATAAGACTTTACTTAAAACTACAAACTGACTTTGTTTTAGACACATGAACCATATGTTAAATATAATATAAAGTAATATAACATAAAACAGTGAAGCGATTCTTCAGCAATTTTTTGTCCTACGATAATAATAACAGCATATAGATTTGGAACGACCTGAGTGTGAGGGCTGGGTTGACAATATTGAATAACAGATTTAAATCAATCTTTAATTTAAAGAACCAATATTGACTTAAATCTTAATCTAAAATGTAATCTATGCCGTTTCCTGTTGATGCTGGAACAAAACTTCACTAAACATTCGTAGCTTGCCTGCCATCCAGTAATCACAATAAGCTTTTGATATAAAACGTCTCGGTTACGTATGGTAACCCTCGTTCCCTGCAGGAGGGAAACTATGACAGGCTAGAAATCTAACTTAACTGAAGGCTGAGGGCCAAAAGTAAATGCAGCATTATTTCCAATTATATCATAACATGCATATTTTTTAAAAATCATAAAAAAAAAAAAACTACATTTCAATGCAAAAAATAAATTGGGAAGGAAGATATGCTTCAGTGACATGTTTTTACAATCCTATTGTCTAAACAAGCAACATGATTTGCAGTGAAGCATGTTTTTACCATGTTTTCAGAGCAGAGTTCCAGTACTTCCAGTGCTCGTGCACAGTAATCTTTTGCGACGTGACGTCGAGAGTAAGCTTCTGATAGAGAACATGGGCTGAGCTCTCAAATTCTGTTAGTTTCATCACACAATTTAAACAATAAATGTAGTTTTGATGCTCTTTAACGTGGCGTGACTGATTGATGTAGCTGTCTCAGTTTAAGTGGCACATCCTCTTCACTATTAGTTATAGCAAGAAACAGAAATTAATGAACATCATAAGGTATGTTGAAACAACTGTTTGTTGTACTGTTGTATATGAAATTTTTCATATTTCAACCACAGAAAGACATCAATAAAACAGCTTGTAAACAATACGTCACATCACATTTAACTCAGGAAAGCTATTCAATGGCCACAGCTCATTAGTTAGCTAAAAAAAAAATCTTTGATAAATATATTCACTACATTAAATGTTCTTTATATATTTAATCAACCTGTTAGCGATGTCTTCATTAATGTATGTTTGAAAAAAACAATTCTGCAAAAGTTTTTATGACGACCATTATTAAATGTTTTATATTTCGATAAGAAATTGTAGAAACATAATTATATCATTAAAAAATAAAAACTTTAAACTTCAAATTAAAAAATTTGAATTAAACATTTTGATTGTTGATATAAAAAATAAACAGCAGAATTGCATAGTTTGGAGCCTGTTGTTAATATGAACATTTAATATTAATGTACCAACTGACAGGGTTCCCTGTATAGTTTACAGTCTTAGTTTGTCAACTTGATGTCATTCCAAAACCACAAAAAAAAAAAGTATTTTATTCCAAAACAGCAATCTATAGTATGCCATTGTTTATCTAGCTAGGTAAATGCTTGCGTTGGTGTAATGGTGTATTATTGGCACAGACAGACAGTTAATGATGGATGAGGGGGCAGACCTATGGAAGCAGACAGCGATCTGCCCAGAGTGCCTGGACTGCAGAGATAGAGAAGAAAGAACAACCACTCAATGAGGGTACGGTTTCACACACCCACAGAGAGGAGTGTGTGTGTGTGCTTGCATCTGCTTACCGGTCCGCGCAGGTCGATGAGTTCCTGTCTCATCTGTCCAATCAGGTTGTCTTTGGCCATGAGGGAGCGGTACAGCCTCTCGTTAAACTCTATCAGCTCTCCGTGCATCTCAGCCACCTAAAAACACACACATTGACAAACTCGCATCAAACTCCCAGTGAAATAGGCTGTTTAAAAAGCACTAGTGCTCGGCAGCTGTCGCGAAGCAGGTTGTAGTATGTGACATTTCTTAAAGGCATGTGAATACGAGTTAGCTTGGTTTTGACTCTCAGGTGTGGAAGTGTTCAGCCAGTGAGCATTAACTGCTCGTTACAGCGAGTCCCACACCTGCTCGGCGACTCGTCAGCTGTCACTTAGAGTAAGTGACACAGACATGGAGGCAGGCTCCCGTCTGCTATTCAGAACTTGCATTCATTTGTTTATGGAAATCATATGTCAGAGTATATTTGGGTTAGCGGTGTTTTGCCTGACAGACGCATCATGTCACTTTTTAACATGTTTGTCCTGGTTACAAGGCCGCACCTGGCCAGAAAAACAGGCATGAATGAGTCAAAAAAAATGAGTAATGCAAAATCCTGACCTTGAAAGTGAATGCAAAGGCCATAAGAGTGCAAATTCAAATGCATTTTTTGAAAAGGATGGACACAAAAGAGAACATGAAACATAAAGTGCCTTTGGGGTTTTAGGATATTCTATTTACATATGCTAATACAACCTAAATTAAATTAACCTAAATTAACAAAGTCTTGATCGCCTGAACTAAACTTGTACGGTGCATCCTAACCAGATGCAACATAGTAAGTCTCATGTATGTAAATGTTTTTTTTTTTTTTTTGTCCTGACATCTCGTCAATTGCTTGGTTTCTATTCTGAATCTCACTGGTCCAAAATCCTGCTCCATATAACATTTGTTTAGTTTTTTTGTTAGAGTGAAAAGACAAATTATGTTGCATTAATGCTGCCTTAAAGTGCACCAAGAAATGTATTTCAGAGTTAGACATTTAGGCTATTATTATGACATGTATTGCCTTCAAGTCAAAAAAAAAAAATCAGTGCAGATGTTTTTACATTTACTTTTTATAACATTTATATTGCTATATCGTTTTTAGGTTTTCATGTCAAATATCAAACTACGTAAAAATTTCTGAATTTTTATATTTTACACTTATTTTATATCATTGATATTTCTGTCTTATTTATGCATGCATCTTACACAAAAATGTATTTTAAATAATCGTTTCTGATTTATGTCTATATTTACTTATATGCATAGCAACAAACAAAAACATTAATTTTGCATTTGTTTTATATTTTACATTTATTTTAATTTCTCTCTAATTTATGCATAGTACCAAAGAAAAACATTTTGCATATATTTTTACATTTATTTTTATAGCATTTTAATTTCTATCTAATTTCTCCTATGCAAGGTATCTTACAAAATACTTATTTTGCGTATTTCACACTTTCATATTTTACATGTATTTAATGTCATTTTCATCTAACAATAACATTTACTCTGCATGAAGCAAACCATAAAAGTGAGTGATTAACTTTACATTTGTTGTCTTTTGTCTAAGTTCTGAGCAAATCACTTCCCACTAAAAATACACCACATTGCACCTGAAGTAGACAAAAAAGATATGACGTACACAAAAAAAAAAAAAACACAATAATTAAAACTTCCTACCAAAAATTGAATTTCAAACAGTGCTGAACGAGTGGGTAGCAGTCTCAAAAAATCTCACAAAGCAGTCTGAACTACAGAAATAGCTTCAGAACTTTTGTAACTGATTGTCAGACACAGTCCTCTATCTGGCTACTTCACTGCCTAATGCAGTGCTTTATATAGCACCTAGCTGTTTCACAGCATAAAATCCATTTCTCCAAGTCTTTTTTTAGTAGCTTGTGTGACAACTTCAAAAATAGTGACCCTTTCAATGTGTTAAAAGAACGTCAAGCTTCAAAACACATTTTACAAGAGAACTATACACATCTCTTGTCAAGAAGGTGATTGCAGGTACTGGAACACAAGCACGTACAACAATCAAGCAAGCACAAACATTCACAACACCATGACAAAAGAGTGATTATCCATCAAGCTGGATACAAACAGGGGAAATTACGCCAGTTCTGCCATATTTACACACCCAGATCGATACACACCCATTGACTACATCCACGGTTTCAGGTCTCATTCATCTCGCCATGGCTCCGGCATGGCACACCGCTCGTAGTATTCTCATTCATCACATTCATTTATCTGCGGCCCAGCTTTCGCACAGGGCATTAAAAAAATTTTAATTAATTTTAAGCGTCAAGGAACCCAATTAATTCTCTGCTAGGCAGCGAGCTAATCAGTTTGTTATTCAGTAAGCAATAAGCTGGCTGCGTCCTTCCAGGTCGCTGGGTGAATTTTCCGACCTGCGCTGCCGGGTGTTAGCGCTTTGGATTTATCTAAACAGGTGACAGGTTCATGCACTTCAGACAACGCATCAAACCTCATTACTGGGCCTTAGCAGGAATCCAAGTGTGTGACTGTATCTGTATTCACTCATTGTAATTACGGGCCGCCCTAGTGCTCCAGCACAGATATCAAGAACACTGTATTCCACAATTATACCTAGTCATTATTTCCAAGAGGGAAAGAAAAACAATTGTGCAGAACAGAAACACCACACAAGCACAGCATCGCTGAAATAAGTAAAAGCCGAGGTGAAACCGAATAAATGTCAAGAAGGATGAAAAGCATGTGCGCGTTTTCATAACACGCTCATAAGCAATAAGTTGAAGTAGATGGGAGCATATTAATGAGAGGAGATTTAGAGGAGTTGATTTTTCATTTTTAAGATGCACAACGAGAGAGAAGGATATTTTGAGACTGATGTGTTTGCCAGATGCTTTCGCCTTTGAACAAAATAAACTTCAACTGATTAAAACTGCCTCCAAATGGATTTAAACCACCAACAAAACAAAATGAAAAGGAAAGTTTCTGATTCCTTTTAACATAGTTGCTTAATGGTTCCATTAAGGATTCTTTTATAGGCACCATAAATGCAATATAGGATCGCATTTAAGGCCTGTTAAAAATGCATAGAATATATTAAAAATATATAAATCAAATAATAAATAATACAGATCATTTATTAGACATTTTTAATAATAAATAGTTATTCATTTAATAAAGTACTTAAACCAATAAAAATGTTGCAACTGGGTTCGGTTCATAAAACTGAAAAGAATAAGAATGTCATTCGTTTGGTCATTCACTTAAAAGGATAGTTCACCAAAAAATGAAAATTACCACATAATTTACTCACCCTCAAGCCATCCTAGGTGTATATAAGCAAGCCTAACCAACCAGTGCTTTCACAGAACAGCTTGCAACATTAACACTAAAGAACACTTATTGACAATCCCAACTCAGGAAGGAGTTTGTCAAATTAGGGGCAAGTAACCAAGATGAATGGTCAAAGAGATGCACAGCTGACCATCACACGTAAATATGTGATAGAAATCATGAGCTACATACTTCCTCGGACTGGTTTCCCCCACACAGGACAAAGACCAGGCTCCTTCTAGACCTTTTGACCTTTTTGTTCCTCACAAAGCATACCCTCACGTTCACAGAACGACAGAGAGACTGTGTTTTACATATGTAGATGCATCTAAAATCATCTTAAAAGGACTTATAAACGAATATCAGTCCATTGCACTTCATAGCATGTATGTAACCCACACATTTCACATTGAGCAGCATTAACTACACAGAGCCGTTGTTCACTGACGAGCTGCGCGAATATGAACGTGGTTTTGAGTGAACAACGGCTCTGTGTAGTTAATGCTGCTCAATGTGAAAGCACGCACGTGATGGAGATTTACCGCTGATTACAGAACCGGCTTTTCTGACAAGATGCGCGTTAAATATCGCATGCGATTTATCGTGCAGCCCTAGATTTATCCAATAAAGCCTTATTTATATTGAAAAGAGAAGTATCTTGTGTTTTGTGCTTACAAGTTAATGTCTTAAACTGCCGATCTTGTTACTGTGCTAATAAAGTGTTTTCACTATATTTTGGATATTAATATCCATGCAGAGTTGATGTTGTACATCAATTGCGCTAACTGTCATATGCGCGTTCACAATATAACGCTGTTCCGGTCGATGATGTAGGACGTCAGCGTAGCGTTAGCTCCAGTGAGAATATGCTAGTCTCACGAGAACCAATGTTTGTTTACTTCTAATTCGTGACCAGTGTTTTGTTTTGCTTCTCACCGGAGTTTACGCTATGACAACGTCCTACGTCATCGGCCGGAACGGCGTTCTATTATGAACGTGCATATGACAGTTAGCGAAAGTTAGAGATTAGTGTTTATAAAGTTTTAAATATGGATATTTTTCTTTCAAAAACACATCGATTCGCTACAGGAGGCCTTTATTCACCCCCCGGAGCTGTGTGAGGGATGCGCTTTATTGGACTTCTTTTGGACTATTGAAAAACAACACCCATTCACTGCCATTATAAAGCTTGGAAGGGCAAGAATGTTTTTAAATATAACTCTGATTGGATTCGTCTGAAAGAAGAAAGTCATATACACCTAGGATGGCTTGAGGGTGAGTAAATTATGTGGTAATTTTCATTTTTGGGTGAACTATCCCTTTAAAATGACAGACTCAGAAGCTTTATATTTATATTTATGTCTGAATAAGAAGCCGGTTCTTGGTTCCTGATCCTAACTACCAAATTAAACAAGATGGCTGTGTCTGAACACTGAAAAACTCACAGGCAGTATACAATGGTACCGTAGGAAGGCAGCAAACCCAAATCCAATCTTTGCATCACATCCGGTCTATTATTAAGATGCCTGGGCAGATTTTGAAGGCAGCAAAGATGTATTTATATTCCGCTATCCTGTGCATGCGGCTGGAGGAAAGAATAAAAAAGGTATTTGAAGGAATGGATGAAAGCAGCAAACTTATATATAAAGGTTCTTTTTTTTTTATATTATGACTCCATTTCTCCTGAGAAAAAAAAATTTTAAATATTCACTTGGCTATCTCCAAAGCTCATACTTGAATTTGCTTTAGATCATTAGACATGAAGGTCCTCTGGAAG